TCCATTTGTTTGTTTAAACCACACAAGTATTTCCTAAGAGCTACCGACAGCGGTTTAACAACAACGCGCTGCCAACAAGTTTAGCACTACCCGGTAAGCAGCGCTACTCTCCAGACCCTCTAGAATACAGCTACTTAATACAGCTCCTTCAAAGCTTCGCATTTTTGATTTCCTGTGCTTGTTGGAGATGGGGGAACAGCCAGCCAGAATCCATTTTTGAGAGTTGTAATATCTTGACACATATCTCAACACATTTAAACATAAAAAGAAACGACCTATCTGAAAAAATGCCCATTGTAGCTGATGAGATCAGGGTGCCTGGTCTAAACGCCACTGTTGAAATGGGGAGGGGGACTGCTGAATGCATAGGAACGGGAAATTTCAAAATTGCACTAGGCATTAAAACAAAAAAACCCAAAGAGAAACATGCTTTTCAGCAGGTCAGTGGTTTTGACACAGATGATGTACAATTCTTCACACAATCTTCTAAATTAATAAAACACCAACATAAAAAGCATCAGTAATTTAGATTTTAAAAAAAGGGAGAAAAGCTACAAGTTGTGTTTAAAATTCAGAGACTTGAACAAAAATTACTAGATCTGTGTAAAAGTAATCAAGCGCAGCAGGTGACTGCACCCTTGGCCGAAAGCACAGCCTCTCCTTGCCCAATACCTTCCTTGATAAATCCAAGCAGCATCTTAAAGTCTGTACTTTTACGCATCCATCAGAAAGCACAACGGAATAACCACTACATGCTTGACTTTTGATATTTCAAACACAATTTCTTTACGTAAATCGCTTTCATTTAAACAGCCGCATGTAGCGTGGTAGAGTTCAATGCTGTTCTAACAAAAAACCCCAACAAGAGACTTCAACAATTCTGCTGGCTTTCTGAAAAGCACGCACAACCTGCAAAATGAAAGGCCAAGCTTCCAGCTAAAGAAGAGATTTTAAACAATTACCAAAGCAGGATAGTGATATCATAAAGGCAATTTCTGCGCTAGCTTGTTTTCTGAAACTCTCTTTGCCTCTGAACAGCTAGAACAGATAATAACTATTAGTAAATCAAACTCCTGCAATATCCAGCTGTGTCTCACGCATTTACATACAGATAGAATGGGTATATGTTTTTAATATGTATGCGATACGTACTTTTACCACAGCTGAAGTGCATGCTACAAAGGAGGAGGAGAATGGGAATGGAATCAGCATGAGATAATAAAGTGGCCTAGATAAAGTATTAGCCAGCGATTGATCTCAAACAGGGGATGTTGCTTCTCTCTGACCTGATTACTTACTATGCATAGATTCCATTAAATAGAGCTTAGAATGGAAAGCTTCTGAAAAATACCGTAAATACAGTCAGACCTACGGCTTCCTGAGCCGAACCAGCCTGCGGATGCCTACCCTTACACTCGAGTAGGAGCTTAAGCCTCACCCGCACCGCCACATCACACCCATTAAATACATACGTGTCTGCCTGCCCTTCCCTGGGAGCCAGGCTTGTGATGCCCAACTCCACCCCCCCCGCCACATCACACCCATTAAATACATACGTGTCTGCCCGCCCTTCCCTGGGAGCCAGGCTTGTGATGCCCAACTCCACGTTTTTAAACGAAAACAGGAAGTTCACGGGAGAAAAAAAAAAATAAGAAAAATAAAATTCATCTTTACACAGAAGACTTGTTACGATTTTCCTTTCCTTGTTGGGAGAGAAGAGAGACAGAGCAATGTGCTAAGACGTTGCGCAGGCTTCCCTGGTGCCGAAACAAGAGCACGTTCCATTTAATTGACCGTATGCCTTTCTCTTCTGAAGAGGGAACAAACTGGAGACAAAGAAGCAGCCACTGCAAGCGCAAGGTTCGGAACAGCCACCAGCGAAGGACAAAGGCTGCGCCTTGCCCTGGATGGACAATTTCCCCACTGCTTGGTGAAATTACTTTTCTTTCACTCCTGCAGAACAAGTCCGGTAATTTGAAATACTTTGAGACAATTAGATCGTTGATTATGTACAGACCAAGAAACTGATGCTAGGTGCTGTTTCGTGGAAGGGTATATGGCAGAGAGGGCGCAGCGACCGAGTGGAAACACAGGAACCCGATTTGCGCCAGCTGTTACGGAAATCTGGTGTTCGCCTGCGCAAGAATATCTATGGTAACAGAAAGGCTGACTTTATGCAGGAATTTCATACAGCCTTGGCTTTGGCCCTATTTTCTGACAAAATGTGCACAGTGACTTTCATAAAAAAGGGCCTCCTGACATGATAGACAGGGTAAATCCATCCCTGATGTAACCCCGTGACTTCACTGGAGTTGGCAATCTGGCACTCCAGGTATTGTTCGTCAGCTCTTAAAATGCATTTAACAATTCACCGGTTATCAGGAGAGTAGAGAAAGATTGATGTTCTGCTCCCTTCACTTTGCTTTCAGTCTTTAATTATACTGAATTGGTTACAAAACAGTGACTTCCAGTATGGTTAATGTCCATAGGGGAGAAAGCCTGCTCTCCACTGTTCTGTCTGAAGCTAACGATGATTACGTGTTACACCTTTCATCCTTGCTAGTACATTTCTTCTAATTAACAACAAAAAAAAGCCCCAAACCCAAGAAACAAGGTGAAATCCTGCTCTCATTTACATCAACGCTAAGCTGACCTTGACCAGTCCGGGATTTCACTGATGGGAGCTGCATCACTCCACCCACTCTGATAGTTAACATGGAGACATCCAGCAGAATTAACAACAGAGGTCTCAGAAATGGGCGACGTGGAATTAGCAAGGGTATTGCGGGCAGCAAGTCTAGAATTCAGAGGATATTTAACAGCTTTTGTTCTGGCCCTGTTTGCCAACAAAGTATGGTAATTTAGATACACAGATGTATATCTATGTACAGATCTGCTGTGTGCATGCAGACATATCACGTGTGCGTGCATCTATATGCTAATGGCTATATGCATATGAGTTGTATAAATAAAGCGCTCCTTGACAAGGCTGCGTAAGCGCGAGAACGTAAAGGGCTTGACCGGGGAGCGACTGCTGAGCTAACAGCCAGGCTGTTCCAGAAAATCACCGGGTGCTCTCAGCCCAGAGGAGGGAATTTAGGGCAGCTTAGGAGGGTCAGCCACATCGCAGGCAAGGACGGGGTCACTCCTTCATTTCAGCAGCAGACTACCTCATGCTTTAGTACTTGTTGGTGCAAGTTCATTTATAATTGAATAGAAAGTAGCACGAGGGGAAAAACGCATTAAGCAAAAGATTTTGTTTAAAAAGTAGGAAGGCTTTTTTTTTTTTTTCCCTTTCTCCTCAGCTGCTATAATTTTAAAATTATTTTACAAAATACCTCCTTAAAAGGGGACTAGCACACTCCAGGGCATGTAGTTGTAAAGATAAATCTGTGCACTTCCCTGGTTCTGCAGGCACTCACCCTTTGGCCTCATCTTTATGACTCTACACCCTGGAGTGGTGTTATTGCTTACAAACATACATATATACTTATGGGGGTATGTGCGATCTGCAGATGTTTTATTTATAAGTGGCAGGCCTATTGCATCACTGAAACGTGCATTTACAAACAGATATAGGTTTTATGAAACCCTATTCCGCTGTTTTAATAGCTAAGCTATCCAGCCATAGCATAATAGTGCACAAGGTAAATGTGCCTACATCTCTAGAACCTGTTCCAAGTTTTCTCAGATGTGACTAACTGCGAGAATTTTCCAACCATCAAAAGTTAATAAAAAAGACAAAATAAGGCAGCGCAAGCCTTCCACACGAGATGCACAGCACCACAACGTGGAGGGGTTCTGATGAACTTTAAGGCCTCATTTTACCAAGGTATTTAAGCAGGTGCCTAACTCCAAATGCAGATCTATTGAAGTTAACATCCTTAAAATTAGATTCACAGTTAAACACTTTACTAACCAGGATCTAAATTGAGACTAGTCTGGATGGTGAGATACCTGCCCTAGGGCATCTTCAGAGATTAGCCTTTAACTAGAGAATAGCTGCAATAGCAACACTTGTTTATTCTACACGCAGCTCGCAGCATGGAAGCAAGCAAGGAAACGATGCAAACGTCTCCTCGTCTTGTTAAAATCTGCTAAACTCACTCCTAGATATTTACCGCACAGAAAATAAATGATGATTTTGCACAAACCTCCAATTTACAGGAAACATAGCATATAAAGTACTGAAACATTTTAAAAATCAAAGTTAATTGATGGGAGTCAGAGGGGACCACAACTCTCATCTACGATGTAAGCTACTGTAAATATCTGTAATAATCGATACAGTATTTTTCTAGCTGCTTAAAACCAGTCACACCAGCACCCTGCACTAAACGCACAGCCACAAGGGCCCAGTCTGAGAGCAGGCGCCCTGTTATCGCCTTCCTGCAAAAATGACGATTGCAAGCAAAAGCAGCGGTCTCCGCGCTCAGATCCCAGCGCTGAGCGCCCTTCTGCACAGACCAAAGCCGCATGTTAACTCGCTCTTCTGCAGCCAACCCAATTTCGTTTTACGTGAACGTAAGTGAAAACAGTAGCTCCTGCGCTGCATTAAAAATACAGTATTTTGACCACATCCTCCGTTTTCAATCTTCAGATTTTGAAAAGTGAAGACTGGCACATTCTGACAAAGACTGACCTACATTAAGCTGCAATCCCTGGACATACAAACTGAAAAAAAGGTGTACTGAGCATCAAAATGGTTTGATTGAAACTCGATACTGGCTGTGGAAGTTCTGTATTAGCACCCCAAATCACAAGCGAGGCATCGGCCGCGGTGCAGGTAACCGCAAAATACCCACGAACTTCCCTGGAATCACCATCCACCTTTGGTTTGTGTGCTCTCTGTAAATATGTAATCGTTGCCGAAGCCAGAAAGAGTTCAGAACTGAATTTGTACATACTGAAAAATGCAGAAAAAAATGGGATACACTTCTACAGGCATGAATAAAAAGCATTCACAGACAAATACAGAGGGGCTCCGAAGTTTCACTTACCATTAAGTCTTCAGGTGCTGGCCTTTCCTTTGGTTGCTTTTTCATGCTATGTGTCATAAAACAAAATGTTCATATATAAACAAGTGCTCATTCATTCTGCTTGCTTAAATATTGAAGATACTCTCTTTCACCAGAGTGAAGAATTTTGATGCGTTTAACTTTATCCTGTGCCGACGGAAGACAGGGCTCCTAACAGCGGCCAAAACGTTACTGGATTCCTTCCCTCCCTCCCTCCCTTCTGGGATGTGGTGGTCTGCACTGTTTGTAACTGCGAAAGTGTGTAAACACAGAGATCATTGTAAACCAGTCAGCTCGGAAGGCACAGCAAATTGATTCTCCTTTTGCTAGGGATTATTACATAGCTCGGCACAAAGTATTACACAAACAGGTGGGAAATTTAACTCTAACACGGAACAGCTTCGGGAGAACGCACAATACCCTGGGGTTTCTACCTTAATTTTTCCACATTTATTTCCATTACACTGCAGGGTGATAGTTCATTACACAGCATTAACCTGTTTATAAGATCATGTTTCTCATCCAAATAGTCCTAGTTTTCCGTGCAACAGGTGCAATTAGCTATTGAAGGCTGTGCTTAGCTGCATGAAGGAACACAATAACATGGCACAGAGGTGACCATCAGGAGCTGCCTACTGACTAATTGGATTACATCCAAACAGCCAGCGTTTATGGCGTAATTGGCATAAAGTCGTAAAGCCTGATACGCCGTTCACTTGACATCTCTAATACTTATGAGGAATTGTTTGCTTAAGCAGTAGATAGCTGCTTCTTATTGCTTTTTTAAAACAGCAATGCCTCCCACGAAAAAGTACAGCCGATATCACACTATATCTAACTGGAAATCGGATAATATATATATATAACTATATCTAGCTGTAAATCGGAGGTATTAACGATACGATTTACCTTCCCTACAAATAACTACAAGCCCCTCGAAGGATGCGGGCATTAGCACGTAACGCGAGCTGCCTGACGCGGAGGTCGGCAGCAGTTCTAATCTGACAGTCCAAAGTAGCTGCGTCCCCGGGGAGAACAAGGCTATTAGCCGCCATCAGTTATGCTTCAGTTTGACATCTGTGGAAATTTTAACACAGGTTATCCCTCCCTCCGCCTCAGCGAGAATTTTTTTAAACCAGTCTGTCATCAATTTTTTTGCAGGGACACAAAGCCTAGCCCTCCCCTTTCGCTGCGCGGCAGAATGCTCCACACAGCCGTGCTCTTTGTAAACTGAAACTACTGAAAACGGAGGCCTCTGTTACACAAACTTTAATTATTTAGTTACTTTAATTAACCCATAATCAGACTGCTTTTTGTGTCCATGTTATTTGTTACCTTCTACGACAGTCCTGAGAGTACTTTCTCCTACGTTACGTATTCAAAATTCCCTTTTATCCGGTGAATTTTGCCGCAGTGGCCGTGGCGGACAGCAGAGAAGCTGGAAGCGCTGCGGAGCCCGACCCACGGATCGGCGTGGGGCCGAGGGCTCCCAGCCCCAGCGCGGGATTCCCTCCCGGCACGCTGCGATGGCCCCGGCTGGTGGGGCCGAGGGCTCCCAGCCCCAGCGCGGGATTCCCTCCCGGCACGCTGCGACGGCTCCGTCTGATTTAGCATCCAGCCTGGACGGGCACGCTCGCAGACGGGAGGCTTCTCTGTCAAACGCACCGTGTTTTTACAGAATTCAAGCTTCTTTCTTCTCCCACACATAAATGGCTGCCCCCTTTTTTGGGGGGGGATCGGGGGTGAGGGGGATGCGACAGTTAAAAAAAAGATCTTCCCTTCACTTTGTTTCTTTAGGATAGCTTACCCTCAAGATTTTTATTCTCTAGTCACTCCAGAACTGTATTCTTTCTTCTACAAACTCCTCCTCTCCCCAATTCTCCTTTCGTTTCAGAGGTTTTCAATGAAGTGCTCAGTTTTAAGGAAAGAAAATCTACCCAGCGGTGTGTTTTAAAATATGACTCTCTGTAAAAATTACTTACTGAAAAGCCGATGAACTCATCAAGGCGGCTTGCCTTTCTAAATGGTGGGGCAAATTTATAAATTATATTTTTAAAAGCCCTGGATAATGCTATTACACACACGAGTCTTTTTGGACCCTCCACCCCCCAGATGAATCCTTCAGGGTCTGGGAGCACAAGACCGCACCCACATTCAGGGCAGGTTTATTAAAACAGGAAAAACCCCTTGTAAGTACTTTTACGACCCTTTGTGTAAATAACGTTTACATAATTTAAACAGTTTGCTTAGCTTTGCCGCCCCATCTGCCCAAGGCCCCCAAGTCCCTCTCCTCTCGGAAAGGATGCGAGGGAAGCCATAAGGTCTCGGCGAGCGGCGGAGTTAATGGCACGTGTCGCTGACAGCGAGGGCACGGCGTGGCTGCGGCCCGAGCTTACCACTGAGTGATGAAGTGCACGAACGGCTCCGAGATCCCCCCGGCTGGAAGGACGGGCGATTCCTGCGACGGGGGCGAAACGAGAAGCCGAGTCAGAAGGAGAGATGAGATTTTTTTTTTTTTTAGAAAGAGAGAATAAGAACAGCACCAAAACCACAAAAAGGAGTAAAAAAAAAAAGGAAGCGATAAAGCCCCCTTTTCACACGGAGAATCTGAGGGAGAAAGGTACAAATTCTTCAGAGAATGTGTTATAAAACACTGAATTTCAACTAATGAGTATTACACAATGGGTAAAAACATGTGGAAAGACACTGAGGGGAGGTGGAAAAAGGAAAATGATAGCCACAGGGTAAAAAGGAAGGTAGGGAAAGTGTAAATGAGAAATTAATGATTATTTAAGTAACACGCAAATGGTCTTGTAATTAACAAAGAGCTGTGAAATTATTCTTGTGTTGACCTTTGTTTCTTTCCCTGCATTTGCTATTTATTTACACTCATGTTTATTTACACTTATTCATTTTAGAGGCTGTCCTCATATGCTGTCTGTTCTAGATTTAAAAGATTTTTAAGAGGAAAAAATGTAGGATTTACCAGTCTAGCGGTGGAAAATAACCGCCCAGTATTTATGAAAGAAAAAAACAAAACAAACCACAAAATAAGAAATTAAGAGCACAAGAAAAAAAAAAATACAAACGGGGAACAAACAACATCCCCATTTGCAAAGGGGGGCTTTACGAATTTCGGAGTTTTTCCAAGAATGACAGAGAGCTCCACTGTGTTTATAGTGGAACAGCTCAGGATGTAATGAAATTACACTGCAGAGTACTTTACCAGTGTCATCTCATTAGACCTACAGTTGGAACAAGAGAGCCACATAAAACAGGCAGCTGCAAATGACTCCATTCTCATCTATTCTCATTTGCTATTAAAAATACCTTTCGGCGGCTTTTTTCCTCCCTGACATCCCTACACAAAGTACCCTGCAAAGTATGATACATGCACCTATTTAAATTAACAAAGGAATGACTTATTTTAATCTCACTGCGCTTTGGAGTGCTTTGGCCATTTGGATGAGCAATATATCATTACATACAACCTTCCAGCGCTGCAGGCAAGAAACTCGGAGCGTGCAGCATTTGGTGGGAGCCAAACAATTTCTCTAGCACACAACTGTGTCAAATGCATGCATGTATTCATTATTGAGAACGCGGGGAAATAGCTTTGATGTAGTGGAAAAAAGAAGATGATAAAAGCACCTCCGCAATGTGTGTGCCATTATCAATGGTGGCAGATAGACACAACTGCGGAGCCTCCTATGTGATTAGTAAATATACATATAATTGCTGTGGCCAATTATCAGAAAAATGAGATCGGTAATTACAAGACAGAAAATTAACTAGAACTCTTATTAAGGCTTTGTTTCCAATTCAAACAATTGGAAACTGCTGGAAAATACAATTAAATCAAAAGTAACCGAAGAGCAAAAGGAGAAGCCAAAATTGCTTTACAATTTTCAAAGACTTCTATTAAATACAAGGAGTGTTTGATAGAAGATGCCCAAATTTGCTTTGAACTTAGACCGGGTGAGGGAGAGGTGGTTGTTTCTGAACTTCTAAATGACATCAATACAGGAAGGTTTCCACTGGTGAGTGGAAGGAACACAAGGAAATAAGCAGTGCAATTAAACTTTCTCCACTTCAAAAGAACCGCGCATGAAAATGATTTATATTAATACAGAAAATGCCGAGCAAAACGGCAGGCTTGCTTGTCCAGCGTGGAGCCCAGAAGGTTTTGCCTCTCCCCATCGTTGTCCCTCGTCCAGCAGAGCCTCCCTGGGCTTGTGCCTGGAGTGGCCAAAGCCACTTTCCTGGTGGGACCGACTCCAAGAAGAACAGGTAGGATCTACCCTGGGCACATCTTGCAGATGATAGAATCAGAGAATGGTTTGGGTTGGAAAGGGACCTCAAAGCTCATCTGGTTCCAACCCCCCTGCCATGACCAGGGACATCTTACACCAGCCAAGGGTGCTCAGAGCTCCATCCAACCTGGCCTTGAGCACTGCCAGGGAGGGGGCAGCCGCAAGCGAAGCGATCGGTGCCCGCTCCCCAGGGAACCAGCTCTGCCCAGCAACCTTCACCCGCCGTTTATGAGAAGTAAAATGTGAGGAGCTTCTCACAGTCACCCCTCCAACGGGGGCTGCCAGCGCGGAGCAGCCCACGCTGGGGAGCTGGACAGGCCTACGGCACTTCACGCCGATTTGGTAGGTGGTCACTTCTCCAATCACACAGAGACGACGGGCCCATAACAGAGTAAAATTTCACCCTGAGAGGGGAGGAGAAGCTGACAAACTGCTCTGAAGCCACCACTTTGGCTGCCCCAAGCTAAGCTGGCATCAGGGAAGAAGTTCCTCCATCATTATTAACGCCTTGACCACACCGCTCCTGTCCTGCAGCACAGCCAGGAGACACGGTGCTCCCGCATTACCACCGGAGAAAATTTCACCTGGATGAAAGCAAACGTTAAATGTTTCTCTTTGTGTGGGCACGTTTTTCCGTACGATGCAGGCATTTCAACCCCATCCTGGCCTGCTCTCTTCTGCCGTAGACCTGTCAGCCACGGCCACCCCTTGGTTGCTTTGCTCTCCGGAGCTCAGGAAGAGCTTGCGGGTGGGTGGATGGGTGAGGAGATGAACACCAGCTGGATCTCAGTATGAAAACTAGGTGCTTTAATATAGTCTTCCCACGGATTTTAGACTGGGCGCCCACAGATTTATCGGCTACGTGCCTGACAGACTGCAAGCCTTTCGGGAGAGCGCATCAAGAAAATACTTGCTGGGAAATGTGTCTGAGGGCAAACAGATCAGTGCAGACAAAAACTTTCGTTTCTCTCCTGTACAGCAGTGGTAAGACAGAGGAGAAAGAGGCAGGGTTCGGTTTTAGTGGAACCAGTGAAGTACGGACACTCAACTGCTCCCAAAGGCGAACACTGCAAAGCTGCCTCCACTGGCCTGGCCTTATCTTACCCACCCGCACACTGAAATCGTCCTATAGAGGCAAAAAAAGTAGAAACCCAGGATTTTAAAGGAGTAAGGAATAGGTATATTTGTTTTAAACGACGAAATGGTTCTTTCATTTCATTAAATACCGTATCTTTCACCCACTGTAATGAAGACCTGTATGCTGGGGATGCTGCAGAAGCGGCAGTACAGACACAAACAGTTGTAAGGTTTGTACCGTTGGCCTCTTCCATGCCCAGACAGCTTCTTCCCAAGACTGGATATTGCCCTAAGCACCCAAGCAACATTTCCATAACCGGGATCTGCTGCAGAAGGAGACAAAAATCAGCCTCCGATTTCTCAAAACCACCCGAACTCTGCACGCACGGTGAGAACGGGGAAGGGCAATAGGAAAAAAAAGTTTGAGTGATGCCTTTGCCTTGTGAATAATGAACAGTTCAAGAAGGTCAACCCATTACAACTGAAACCGTTTAATTATTAATTATGCACAATCTATGAGCAAAAGGACAAGTTCAGAATGTTTAATGTGTGGTAACTCCGACCGGACCCTCTCTTGGCATTTTGTTATTAGCACTTGTCAGCAAGGTGCTCAGGCATAAAGAAAAAAGCACAGCAGCAGAAAATCTGAGCTAGCAGGAGGAGGGAGGGCTTTAAACTTCAAACACTGCTCCTAATATTTAATTCATAGAGTGCCAAGACTCCGGTATAAACCTTATTGACTTCCTTGGAGTTAGGGGAAGCCACATTATCTAAATGAAGACCTGAGAACAAGAACACAGAGGCAATCCCTCCAAAAGCACTCTCTCTCTCAGGGAGTGATGACATTACCATCTGTATCTTCTTTTTTTTTCACAAGTCTGAACAAAGGAAGAGTGAACCACCGAACAGCGTGTCCAGAAGTCAACCAATCCTTTGCAGCCTATGCAGCAAGAGCTGGAATTACCGGTCTGAGCATTATTCTCACCCACTTCTCAAACCTATTATTCGAAATGTCTCCTGGTCTGTTTGCTCCTCCTCAGCAGAGCAGTAGCAGAGATGCTACTGAGGCTCAGGAAATAAATAGTGTCCAGCAAACCCACAAATGAACATGGATAAGGCACCTTGCCCTTCTCTTCTGCCCAGCTCGGAGGTTTACCTGGACAAACTCAAGAAGCAAATTCAACAGATACAACTCCGAGTTGCTTATTTTCTTTGCAAACACTCTTAATGTCAGTGAAATTTGGGAGTAGTTCTTGACTGGCAATACGCCATCAAAAGCATCCTATGCTTTACACACTTTCAGAGGTCTTACCCCAACAAACAATTGCTTGAGAGTGAAGTATTTTCTCAAAGCAACTGAAAGTCTGAGATTTATCAGACGAGCCCAGCTACGCTTTGTGGCCCACAGAGCTTGCTATTCCCAGTGGACCCCCACACTCGGCACAGGTAGGTTTTAGTCCCTCTTCTCCTCTCCTAACTCCCTCTCTGCGAAGGGTTAAATTTTCCCATTCCCCACAGCTACTGCTGTTTTGCAACGCTCTCTCCTCAGTGTGCAGGCTTGTGCAGAAGGAAATGCCATGGTCCTATGGCTCTATGGCCACAAGAGGGAAGTTAGCAGAACGGAGCAAACCAACCTCCGGTTCCTCTCTCCTCTGGGTTTCCCCAGCACACCCCGTCTCCGAAATTATCATCTCCTCCGGGCAGATAACTCCGATTCTCCAACTTGTCCACCGACGCTGAAATGGCAGTATTTAATAAATAACGCGTGTGCTTTACAAAGCGTTTCTGGCTTATCGCTTCAGCCTAAAAAATCTCGAGGATTAAAGAAATTTTATGCACTCCAGCTTCTCTTTTACTAAAGCCTTACAAGAATACACCTATTTTCATACAGAAGCTGCATTTTACTTTGTGGCCAAACAGTGGGTTTTTTTCAGACAAACTGAAGTTTTAGAAGCACCAGAAATGCTGCCAGGAGCAATTACATGTAACGAACGCACCGCAGCTACTGGGCTGCTTCAGAGAGACCAGCAAAAGACAATATTGTACGTGTTCAGATTTACCCCTACAA